CCTGTGGCTCCTCCCGCCCCCTTGGGACGGAAGTCGAACAAGGCGTCGAGAAAGTCGCCAGAGCACCAATCCGACGAACCAGTACTGATATCACATGGCAGCTATCTCCAGGAGCAGTAGATGCAAGACACAGTGACAGGCGCCCTTTGCAAGCGCCGCACTGCAATATGAGGTAACCGCACCAAACAGATTACAAAGCAGCGTACGCGCTCCTGGCTGTGGTTGCCAGCTTGCTCAGCACTGTGCCCTTCTTCGCCAGCAGGAAATGAGGCCCGACCAGTGCGTCACCGTCGAGCTCCAGTCCTGGGCCCCCCAAGCGCCACGAGAAGGCGAAGGGCTTGATTCAACGCACCACAAGGAAGCCACAAGCTTAGACGCCTCGGGCTGATGCTTGAGAAGACGAGGAGGAGGAGGAGGAGGAGGAGGAGGAGGAGGAGGAAGAGGAAGAGGAAGAGGAAGAGGAAGAGGAGGATGATAATGATGATGAGGAGGAGGAGGAAGAAGAAGAGGACGAGGAGGAGGAGGCGGTCGGGACCTCCTTGGCGCCGCGGACCTGGCAACAAGAAGTCACCTCGTCGGCGGACGTCGCGTGGGGCCAGCAGCAGCAGCAGCCGGCGCCCTGGGCCATCTTGGGGGGGGCCTTCTGGGCGCGAGCCCCTTCCCAGGTTGCCAGATCAGCGGGTCCCCCCTCGGCTTCGGATCCGCCGCACTGTCTGGCTGATTTTCCGATTCAGAGCGTGTTGGGAACGCACCCCCGAACGATGCAAAAAAGTATTGCGGAAGTCACCGCCTCAGAAGAGGTAGGGCGGATCTTTCCGCAAACGTATGGCGGAAACAGCGACGGCAAAGAGGGCGGAAATGGTCATCAAAGGAGCTTGGACAGTAGAACGAAATTGTCGGGCCTGCTTACGATATTGCCCAAAGCGCAGTGGATCTGAAGTCAGAGCGTCGCACGTTGTATGCCAGGTGCCCCTCGTGAGCCGTCCACGTTTGCAGCTTTTTTGTTTGGCTCAAGCTCCCAGGATCGGACAGCAGTCCGCGCGGGTACGCCGTTAAGTCATGGCTGCCTGCGGAGTCTTCAGGGGGGCATCGCATCAGCTGCGGGGTCCGCTGCCACAGGTGCCATCGGGAAAAGTACTGCTGCTCTGGCCATGTTCGGCGCGAGGCTGCCTTTCGCGGCGAAGCAGGAGCTTCGCCACACTGTCGCACCTCGAGTTTGACGCCGGGGGCGCACAGGAGAAGAAGACCGCCCTGGTCATGCACGGCATACTCGGCAACAAGGTCAACATGAGAACCTTCTCGAAGAACCTCGCTGCCCGCAACCCGTCCTGGCGGTTCATCCTGCTGGACCACCGAGGCCACGGCGGCAGCCCGAGCCCCGACCCCCCGCACACCGTCGAGGCCTGCGCCGCGGACGCCGTGGCGACGCTGTCGTCGCTGCAGCCCCGGCCAGCGGTGCGCCTCGTGATCGGCCACAGCTTCGGCGGCAAGGTGGCCCTGGAGGTGGCGCGGCAGCTCCACGCGCGCGGCGGCCTGGACGCCCCGCTGCACGCCTGGGTGCTGGACTCCGTCCCCGGCCTCGTGCCCGAGGATCAGGCGCGGAGGCGCAGGCTGTGGCACCAGCACCAGCCCGGAGGTCCGACGCAGCGAGACACGTACAACACGCTGTAGAACATCGCGGCCGGAGGCCTAGACCCCATCTTGCTTCGTTGTGTTTCAGGCAGGATCGACCTGCGAGGGTCGCGTGGCTTGAAAAGAGGGCGAAAACGCCCGGCTCGAAAAAGTTGAGACGCCAGGATCTCAGGGAGCGTCGGCCGCCGTCCCCGGACCTGCTCCCGCCGCGAGGAGCACCAGCGACGTTTTCGTTTCAGGCTCTTGCGATTGTGGGGCTTCGGGGGGGGCCTGTCCGGCCCCCTCGCGTCGTGAACAAGGAAAAGCGACGGAGGGGTTTGGGTTAAGTAAGTCGGGCATGTCCTCTATAATAGGTTAAGATGACAAAATAGTTCACACATCGTATGGGACCATGTTTAAAGTATTTACGATTATTCTTGCGTATGCTTCGATTATGTTCCATTTTTCTGCCAAAATCCGCCTGCAGGATGACATGCCCGACCTAAGGTTTGGGCCACCCTTCGGTCCCTGGGGGCCCTCGACGGGCCCCGGGGTCGTCGAAAAGAGACGGCTCGGGGTGACGAGCCCTGGACCCCATGGGGCAAGCCCTGAGATCCTGACGTCGCAATCTTTTCTCGCCGGGCGTTTTTGCCCGCTTTCGGGCCCGGGTCGACCCTCGCAGATCGATCCAGCGCGACAAATGACGCAGAAGGGCATGGTCCCGGGCTCCGGTTGCAGTTTTTGCGATGTTGCAGTGTTGTGGCAAGGTCGGATCTCAGGGAGGACCCCGACCTCTGGGGTCCAAGTCACGAAAGTTCAACGCAAAGTCGAGGAAGGAGTCGGTCTCGGGGGAGAACGTCCAGATCTCTGGGGACCAAGGAATTAGTTGCGTGGTCGGAGGTCTGGTTCTCCACTGGGAGTGGGCGACCCACGACCTTGGTGGCGGGGGGGAAGTCGTCAGGCCTTGCGGGGTGGCCGCGTGTCCTGGACAGCACCGCCAGCACCAGAGAGGCACGGTGGAGGCCCCATGCAAAGATACACCCTGCTTGCCTCCAGGGTGCCCTGGGTTTCTTGGGTTTCGATGGTTTTGCTATGGACAGCGTGAAGTTCCCACACCAAACTTCGATGGACGTCCTGGGGTCTCAGGGTTGGGTTTCTTGTGGAAGGTTTTTTTGTGGACTGGCCTCCACTGTGTAGGATCACCTTTCCCAGTGGTGGCGGCCTGCAATGTTGGTGTCAGTGCCGACTTCTGTGCCCCCGACATACGAGTCCTGAGTCTGTCTCCAGCGTCATCGCGCATGTCGGCGATGTTCCGATGCCCGTGAGGAGCAAGGAGCATCTGCTGGAGGAGCTTGGGAAGAGGGGCATCTCAAAGACGCTTGCCAACTGGATGACGACCAACCTGCAGAGCGACGCCGCGAGCGGTGGCTACGTGTGGAAATTCGACGTGCAGCTGATCGACGCTCTCTTTCGGGCCTACAAGCGCGCAGACTACATGCCATTCCTGTCGAGCCTCCCAGCCAGGATCTGCGTCAGGCTCGTGATGGCCAGCAGGAGCCAGGGCTCGACCTAAACGATGTTGTGGCGATTCCGTGTGCCGTTTTCGTTGCGATTTCGTTTTGCAGCAAAGGTGGTTTGAGCACAAAACGAGGAAAAACGAAAACAAGACGAATACGAAAACACTTGTTGGGTCGATCCTTGGCAGGAACCCCCACTGGACCCAGGATCGCATCTGGGGTGCCAAGGGAGGAAGCGTGCCTGGCCCGGGGCTCCCCCCCGCCTTCCGCCTCACTTGGGCCCTCTTTGCGCCTCGTCGGGGGCGTGAGGCCACGTTGGGGCGATCCAGACAGCAAGGGCGCCCTCGAGGGCGCGAAGCTATTCGCGCTTCGCGCTTCGGCTCAGATGGCGTAAGTGGCAGACTGGCGCGCGGACTCACGTTGCGCTCAGGCTTGGTGGAGGAGGAGGAGGAGGAGGAGGAGGAGGAGGAGGAGGAAGAGGAGGATGAGCCCTCCTCCTCCTCTTCTCCCCTGGGAGGAGGAGAAGAAGGAGGAGCAGGAGGAGGAGGAGGAGGAGGAGGAGGAGGAGGAGGAGGAGTCCTCATCCTCCTCTTCTCCCCGGGGGGGCGGCGCGAGAGCGCGAAGTCATGCGCGCTTCGCGCGAGGCCGCGAAGTCGGGCGCCCCTGGAGAGGGCTTCGCCTCCGAGGGATCGCGCAGTGGACGGCCCTTCCTCGACGGAGCCGCCGCCGAAGCGGCCGGCCCGAGGCCACGCGGGGCGCTCCAGGGACGGGGACTCGCAGGGGGGCGCGTCCCCGCCCACCGCTGCGGCGGAGGCCGGCGCAGGCAGAGCGGCGGCTGGCCCGCCAGCGGAGGCTCGGCGGAGGCTCGGCGGAAGCTCTGCGCCCCGCCGCCCTCGCGCTGCGAACAAGAAGTCGCGGCCGCATTGCGGCCTCCGGGGGCCCTTACCGGGCCTCGGGGCCGTCAAGAAACGACCCGGGACGAAGAACCGGTCCCAGGGAAGGGGTCCAGACCTTTGGGGGTCGAGGTTGCGAAAGAATCACGACGTGGGGGATCTGTGCGGAAGGCTTGGGGTCACCTCGGTTCATCGAGGCTTGAGGCCTGGGGGAGCTCTAGTAGCAGAGTGAAGCCGTGGCTTCCCTTAGGTCCCCGTCTCTGCAGTAGGGGTAACATATCTGGGAGGTTTCGTGTGGTACATCGGCAGACAAGACCAACTGTCGTAGGCTTTTTGTGGGCCCTTCTAACTTAGGTCCGTCCCTAAACAGTTAGGAGTCCTTTTATTGCCAACAATCCGTGCTGGCGGCCCCCCCCCCCGGCGGCACCCCGGGCATCGCGGCCATCGAGGCCGCCGCCGCAAGCTCCGCCGACCAGGGGGGAGGCCAGGTGTCTCTCCACTCGGTCGAGTCGGGGCACTGGGTCCACATCGAGGCCGCCAAGGCGGTCTCCGCGCTCATCCAGGAGCACACCATGGACCGCTTGTAGGATATCGCCTGGCCCGAGGCGAGCCGCTGCGCGCCGCCGCGGACCAAGCGCAAAGCAGCTCCCTGTCGCGGCGCCCCCCGTGCGTCGTCATCCTGGGCCATGGCTCGCGCTACAGGGAGCAGTTGCCGGCATGTCTCGATTATTTCCTCGATCAGAGGAGGGCGAGTTGAGACAACCCTCGTTGCCCTTCTGGGGGGGGGCCCTCGCCGCCACGGCTGCTCGGAAAGCTGGTGCGCCTGGACCCCGAGAGGGGTCTCGGAACCGATCTTGCGCGGCCGTTGTCACAACTCGCCTGCTCCGATGTACTTCCCCAAGCAGCGCTTGCACTTCCAGCCGAGACGCTGACGTACGGACCACTTCGGGCTCAGGACGGACTTCGCAGACCTAGAGGTGGCCACCAACACCCATGTCCGCGGTGTGCCTCCACCAGGGTGGTACTATTCTGGCTTCCAGGGCGACCGAAGCATTACCACCAACACCGAAATCTAGGATCCTCTTCACCCCGTGGAGGCACCCCCCTGTGGTTGGTGTTGGAGCCCATGTCCAGGCCTCCAAGGGCTCTGGTTCTCGGGGTTCGCTCCTCAGACTCAAGCCGGAGAACCCTTTTCGCGGCCGGGGCTCGCCCTGGCCAGAGAACGCCCCTTGGCTCTCTTTGCGGCCTTCCTGACGGTAGCGTGGTGCCTGTTGAGAATCCGGCCTGCGTTGTGAGAAGCTGGCCCCAGTCTGGCGCACTCTCAGGCTGCTGCTTGGATCTCTGTGGCTTGGCCTCCTTGGTTCCCTACGGCCTGCAGTACGGCTTCTCCTCCTCCCTCTGCCCCGGTCCGGTTCACACTTTGAGGGTTGCTTGGATCCTTAATGGCTTGGCCTCCCTTGGATCCCCACGGCTTCCCAACTCACTGGACGCAGGGCCCACCTTCTGGTGGCTTCTTCCAGATCCCAGTAGCTTCCCCTCCCACTGGCCTCGTGTGGCGCACTCTGGCGGTTGCTGTGGCTGCTTGCATCCCGTTGGCTCTGAGTGGGAGGACCAGGGTGAACCAAGTATGCACAAGCGATGCTGCAGTACACCCTCCCGTCCAGAGTCCCGTCCTTGGAGGCCCTTACAGGTCCTTCTTTCCACCACGAGCAGCCCCTCCCCTCTGAAGGACCAGCGCAGTTGTGTCTGCCACTTTGGCGATGACCCCGCTCGGAAGAGAAATTGCCTCGGGTCTCTCTGGCGCAGAATAAGGAAGGCGAGAAACAACTGCCATACAGTTCAACGAGGTGTCCAGCGAACTCCCCCTTTCAAAGAACCCCCCCCCATCCGTGTAGCCGCTGCACAAGCTTGCACTTGTGGCCATGAGCTTCGGGGAGGTCTCGAGCGACACCCAAAATGTCGAAACAGAGCCGCCGTAGATGTTGCACAGAGCTGCGTGCGTTGAAGCTCTGGGCAAGTCAGACTCACGAAGTCCCAGGCACGAGTTAGTGAATCCCTCCATCCTGCTGAACGTTGTGCTGAAAAAGCCAATGCGCGCGGTGCTGAGGCGAGGGCCTCCTTGAAAACGACCAGTGCTAAATCCTTGCGCAGTTGCTTAGGACACATGTACGCGGCGCTAATGTGACATCTTCACGTTGAAGAGCAACCTCCCTCCATCCGTGAAGCTAGTGCGAACTTTCTGGTGAATGCGCGCGGCTCTGAAGCGAGATCTCCATTCTGAAAACAACCCCACTCCATGTTTGACGGTGTTGCAACCTTTAAACAAGACGTATGTGTGTTGCGCCAGGGCGAACGCCACAGTTTGAAAAGGAACCGCCCTCCATCCGTGAAACGGTTGCCAACGAAGGCGAGAGTCTCATGTTGGAAACGGTTGCCCTCCATACGTGAAGCATCTGCGAACTTGTAAGACGCTTAGACGAGATCCACATGCTGAACACGCCCCCTTCCATCTTTGAAGCTGTTGCAAACATCCGAGTCGAATCTGCGCGGCGCTGAGACGAGAACCACATGTTGAACACGGCCCCCTCCCACCCGTGCAAATCTCAAGCCTCATGACCATACATGGCAAGAACGTCTGAGGCGAATCGCCCCGCCCGCCCGGCCGACACGTTCGGGGTGGTACAGGGAGAGGCTGTTGATCAGGCACAGGGATTGAAAAACGTGTGGGTAGAGGTACTATGATCACGAACCCGTACTACCACCAAGAACAATAGCACTGAGAATGAAGAGGAGGAGGAGCAGGAGGAGGAGGAGGATTGGATTGATTAGGAGGATAGGAGAAGGAGATGGAGATCGAGGGGGGGAGTATTATTGTTCCTATTCGTAGTAGTAGTAGTAGTAGTAGTAGTAGTAGTAGTAGTAGTAGTAGTAGTAGTAGTAGTAGTAGTAGTAGTAGTAGTAGTAGTAGTAGTAGTAGTAGTAGTAGTAGTAGTAGTAGTAGTAGTAGTAGTAGTAGTAGTAGTAGTAGTAGTAGTAGTAGTAGTAGTAGTAGTAGTAGTAGTAGTAGTAGTAGTAGTAGTAGTAGTAGTAGTAGTAGTAGTAGTAGTAGTAGTAGTAGTAGTAGTAGTAGTAGTAGTAGTAGTAGTAGTAGTAGTAGTAGTAGTAGTAGTAGTAGTAGTAGTAGTAGTAGTAGTAGTAGTAGTAGTAGTAGTAGTAGTAGTCGTAGTAGTAGTAGTAGTAGTAGTAGTAGTAATAAGTAGGCGTAGTAGTACGTAGTAGTAGTAGTAGTAGTAGTAGTAGTAGTAGTAGTAGTAGTAGTAGTAGTAGGAGTAGGAGTAGGCGTAGTAGTACGAGTAGCAACAGTAGTAGACGTATACGTACAAGTATAAGTAGTAGTCGTAGTAGTAGTAGTAGTAGTAGTAGTAGTAGTAGTAGTAGTAGTAAGAGTAGAGTAGTAGTGGTAGTAGTAGTAGTAGTAG